CTCTCTCTCTCTCTCTCTCTCTCTCTCTCTCTCTCTCTCTCTCTCTCTGTGTGTGTGTGTGTGTGTGTGTGTGTCTGTGTGTGACACACACACACGCACACTCTCTAGTTCCTCTCGAATTTGTCTCTGTCTTCCTTCTCCATTGCCTCCCTTCCACCTGCTCGATTCCATCTTTCAACTTGTGCCCTCCATCCCCCTCCCGACCTCCCCCCAGCAATCTGCTTTTCCCCACCCTCTTCTCTCCTTGTCCTGAGTCTGTAGCCTCTCTCTTCCCGTCTCTCTCCACGCCTTTCTCTCCTCCGTCGAGATCCTCTTTGAGCTCCTGCTCCTCCAATACCCGATGTGGCCCCTGGGGATCTGGTTTGTCCATTCCTCTCTTGCTCTCGTCCGTCGCTCTTTCTCTCTTCATTGCTCTCCTCCTCCATCACCTGCATATCCACAGTTAACCCATCCCTCTCCAGATTCCGACCCTTCGTCCTTTCCTTACAACCTGTTCCCCCTCCCTCCGCGCTGAGCCCCTTTTCCTGCCTTGCAATCTCTTCTTCCCCACCTTGTCCAGATCCCCCTACACGACCCGCTTTCCTCACCCTGTTGCCTTGGCGTTCTTTCTCCTGCACTTCATTGGTTCCTACATCCTTATCCTGATTAGCTGGCATTCCGATGTTGTCCTCCTCTCGATCCCACACCCTGATCGACCCCACACCCAATCCGCGCTTCCCATCCCCTTCATCGCAAACTGGGTTCCCGACCTACATCCTCCGCCCATTTATTTTAGGACTCTCCTCGACATCTTCTCCCTACACAACCTCCTAAACGTCGGCAAACTTCCCTTGCATGCTTCACCGTATACCGGTGACTGTCCTTATGCTTCCTTTGTCGTCGCATCCGATCCTGACCAACGAAGTCCTAACCCTCTCCTCCTCCTCATCCCGCATCCTCACCCTTTCCCTTCGTCCTTCTCCTGCTACTCCAGCCTCTCAAGATTGCGATGGCGACCTTCTCTTGCCTGCATGACCGGGCACTTGAACTCCCCCAAGTGTTCGTTCCTTCTCCCCATGCCTCTCCGCATTCACGGCATGATCCCCGCATACTCCTTCCGATAGCGGGCGTGCACAAATCCTGTCCCACTTGCAAAATAGGACCCCCGCAAAAATAGAGTTGCCCTAGGCGAATGGACGGATGAATGGAACGAGGAGGGAAGGAGGGATGTAGAGGGAGGGCGAGAGCGGGGGAAGGAGGGATGGAGATGGAGGGCGGGCGCGGGGGAAGCGGGTTGGGGGGGGAAGGAGAGAGAGAGAGAGAGAGAGAGAGAGAGAGAGGGTGCACGTCGCCACGCCAGGCAAACCCACCTCTTTCACTCTTGTGCGGAGTGTGAACGGAACTCTCCACCTCTTCAGGCACAACACCTCTGATAGAGGGAGAGAGGGAGAGAGGGAGAGAGGGCGAACTTCACCACGCCGCGCGAACTCACCTCTATCCGTCTGAGCCGAGTGTCAATGCAACTGTCCGGATCTCTGAGATTTTCAGGCGACACAGCGGGTACAAAGACAGGCACAGAGAGAGAGAGAGAGAGAGAGAGAGAGAGAGAGAGAGAGCAAAAAAAACCGCCACCGCGACGGCTGTTCAAACTCAGCGCGCCGAGGGGTTCAAACARCCGTCGCCATATGCCATCGGAGGAGCCACAGCTGTGCCCTACTTCCCGAGGGTTTCGTTATGGGTTCCGAGTATCGACGGGTCCCTTCCATCCGATCTGCCACAGCGTGACCACAATGAACTGGTAACCGGAACTAAGCATCCCGAAGTGGAGCACCGCGTAGTCAGTTTGGGGCTGATGATATTCCGAGGCCGAAGCCTCGCAGCCCCCCTCAAAATAGGGCTGGACCGGACCGACTGGCGCTCCGGGCCTAGTCCGCGGTTTCGAGCCTGCCAGGTAACGAGCTTGAACCGTTTTGTTTGTTTTTTGAACAAAAACTCCAATCTATTCGTGGGGAGCAGCACGTGCTGGAAACCTGGTCCAGACCTTCGTACCGTTTTTCACTGGCAACATGCTCCTCATGGGACGTGATGGTTTTTGGGCAGCCATAACTGAAGTACTGTTCATGTAACATTTGGGAGTAACAAAGGCCAAATGCCAACTCCAGGATGCCTGTTGTAGTAGATGTTATAATAGAAGATTTTTACCGGGCTAGAACAGCACATGATGCGAGGATCTTTCAAGATCTTGGCCTTTTGGTGATTGACYAGCTACTTCTTCTCCTTCGAGAGACCTACTACCTATCCCTCTCATACGAGGACATACTGATTGTTGATTTTGTGATGCAGCTTTATGTCGCACGCATTGTACGACCTGCTGTGGTAAGATGGTWGGGCGTTTTTAAACCCATTCAGAGATTTTGCTTGCCAACGGTTAAATCTTCGAGTTTCTTTATACAATGGAAGGTCGTGTTATCTGSAACTCAAGATCAACCAGCGCTTCATTACAAGATCGTAATGTATTTCATTGTGTTCATCTCGCTTATCGTGGATTGGTTTTTTGTTGTTGTGGTTTATATAGTGGAGGTAAATAAGCTATAATTTACCATGATTTTTTTGGATTTTTATAATATAACTAGATAACTAGAATATGTTTAGAGAGGATCTTGCTTCATTTGCATCAACTCGCTTTTATTTGTTTCAATCGTTCAGTTCTAAAGTGTTGTCAATAGCAAACGCATTGCCTCATGCGTACTTAGTGGACGTCCTGGTTTTCAAAGCATGGAGGTTTAATATGCTCCTTGTATGGGATGTTGGCTTAACATCGGGAATAAAAGTCGCAAGTTTCTTGGTTTCCAGAGAGACACGTTTCTTCGTTTATGATAAACTTTAGCTTCTCGTCATCTTGTCTCATTACTTTTGCCAACAATCATCTCACTTTTCAATCGAAACCGCATTTCTTTCTCATCTTTCCAATTGTTTTATGAGTTAGTTGGTTGTTGGAAGTTTACTAAGGTTTCTTTTACGCTCCTTCCAAACTCTCTCAGTAGCTATTATGTTGACGAGAGGTGGAGATGGATAAACAATTTGGTGTTTGCTTTTCATATGAAATCAATCTGGATCGTAGTGGCATGCGATATCTTATTGCCCAATGTTATGAAGAACGAAACATTCATGGAAATATCTCTTGTGAGAGCATACAAATAGAAGGACGTGTGAYATTTTTTAACATAAATTCAAAGTTTGATTCAGTAAAGGTTCGATGGTTAAAATAAGGACGATCATTATTGTGCTTAGGGATGCTAGCTATCGTGTTGCTTTTGGGCCAGAGTTTCTAATAGTTATCATCTTGAGAGACTTGTAGTCCTCACTACGACAACATAGTCAATCGCCCACAACGAGAGGTGGAGATGGATGGACAGATACAATCTATTGCTAGCTTTTCTCAACCGACTCCATATGAAATCAATCTGGATGAAAATGCATGCGATATCTTATTGCCCAATGTTATGAAGAAGAAGGCTTTTATGGGAATGTTTATTTTGAGAGTATACAAATAGAAGGAAGTGAGATCATTTTCAACGTAAATTCAAAGTTTGATTAAGTTAAGGTTCGATCGTTGTTGTGCTTAGGGGTGTTGCAAAAACAGTGCCAAGGAAAGTTAAGCCAAATATAATAAAGATCTATGAAAATAGTTGAGTCAGGGACAACATTTTTTAGCAGCCTATTCAAAGATGAATCATCAGGTTCAAAAGTCCAATGTCATAGCCTATTCCATTAGGGACAAAGTTGTTTCAACTTGGTTGATGGATAAAACATACGACGAGATTTTGTTTTTTTGTATGGATAACACGCCTTAAACCACCACTACCCCTGCCAACCTAAAATGAATTTTCTTGGCCTTATGGACCGGGTTCTTTGGGGGGGCGGCGACCAGCAGGTGCAGGYGGATCCGGCCCAATAATTTTCAAATGCGAACTTTGGCGATGTTTCACGCAAAAAAAAAATAGGCAAAAAATTTGAAAGATTGCTATCATGTAGATTAGGTCGTGATCTTTCCAGGAAAAATATAAAAAAAATAGGAAAAGCAAAAATAGACCGTGAAGTAAATGTCACGCCGTTTCGTCACATTTTTCATTTTTGCTACTCTACAACGTATGGGCCAACGGGAAAAGTAACCCAACTTTTGCGATTTTTTGCGATCAAAAGGATGACCTCACAACTTTAAAAATTTGAGGGTCCATATATTTTGTCGATCTTTATAGGAAAAATGTATAAAATAAAATAAAATAAAATTATTTGAACCACGAAATAAATCGCGGGCGTAATTCGACGCATTTTTTAAATTTTGTCATTTCGCCAATTCCCCCACTGTGCTACCGATAGCCCTTATGGACCTATTCTACCGGTTCCCCCTAATTTACGAGGTGAGGGTAGTGGTGGTTTAAACAAAAGAAAATCATAAGGTTAAAACTACATAACTGTTTTTAGGTGATGACTTTACAAGTCCTTATATACCCATGTGTATACTAACGCAACGAATAAAAGGATTATAGGAGCAGTCACAATGGATTATTATCCAATAAGGGGGTACACTGATGTCTSAATTTATGAACTTCAAATTTATGTTGATCCATAGTTCATAAATCAAACGGTGAATAGGATATAAGTGACTCGAAAAATGAAAAATACGAACACGCGTGATCTCAAATTGGTTTGTTCACTCATTCCTTGGTGTACAAACTGCAGAGATTTCTTTCATAAGGAGAAAAATTGCTTAAGAAACAAAGTCGACAACAAAAATAACAAAGATCGAATGCAAAATAACCAACAGAATGTCGTAAACCTTGCAGATATGAACTTCTATACAAATAACGTTCAAGCTCAAAACATAAATGAACAACTTTCTCGCCACCCAGTCAGCGAGGTCGAGGTAAAGGTCAGTACAAGAGCAACCTTTTCCTACACAAATCATCTCATTCCAGACAATCGAAAAAGGATAACATAGGAGGAGAGAAAATTGTCAATCAAATTAATGGTCTGGTCTTCCAACCGTATAAAAGATCGAGGGAGAATCCTTTATTCCCATCAAACCTAAAATATTTAATGGGCTTCGCAAGCGGAGAAAAAAAATGTATCTCGGTCGAGCGCATCGGCCCGGCACTACTCAAGGGTAGCGCGGGACCCTCTCGGCCCCGTCACGCAAGAGTTGGATCCTAATCCTCGTCGCGATACATACATGGAGCTTCCGCAAAGCTGCTCCGGCCGAGTGCGCCAGCCATACCTCTCGCGAGCCCCTACGACAGGATAGGGCCTACGTGAGGCACGACTTACCTCCACCTTACGGGAGTTGTCACCTCCCTTCCGTGGGCGTATCCCC